TCTGAGCCACAGTCAGCTCCCGGTCTTGTTTTTGCTGACTGTATAGAGTTCTCCAAGAATGATATTTTTATAGATTTACATGTTTATATATATATATATATATATGTGTATATATATAAGTATTTATTTTAAGTATTTAAATATAATTTTAATATAAAAATAAATATTTATATAAGTTTAGATGCTCCTATATTGAGTGCATATGTGTCATTGAGTGTAATATACTCTTCTTGTATTGATTCTTTTTTCATTACATAGTGTCTTTCTTTAGCCTTTTTATGGCTTTTGTTTGGAAGTGTGTTTTGTTTATATGAGTGTTGCATCCCCCACTTTATTGTCTTTTTCATTTGCATGAAATGCCTTTCTCCATCTCCTCACTTTGAGTCCTTTGTCCTGGAGTGGGTCATTGGTTTCTTAAAGAACTAGGTTTTGGCTTTATTGAGCCACTATTATATTTTTGTTTCCTATTTCATTATTTTTGTTGTTAACACTTTTTTAAAGATTTATTTACTTGTATTTATTTATGGCTGTACTGGGTCTTAATTGCTCTGCACAGGCCTTCTGCACTTGTGGTGAGTGGGGGCTACTCTCTAGTTGCAGTGCATGGGCCTCTCATTCCACTGGTTTCTCTTGTTGTGGACCACAGGCTCCAGGTGCATGGGCTTCAGTAGTTGCAACTCATGGGCTCTGGAACACTGGTTCAGTAGTTGTGGCACACAGGCTTAGTTGTCCCACCGAATGTGGGATCTTCCTGAACCACGGATTGAACCTCTGTCCCCTGCATTGGTGGGTTCTTTACCACTGAGCCATCAGGGAGGCCTGCTTTTACCACCTTTTTTCTCCTTTACTCTTCTGTGATTTGTTGTTTTTCTAATGTTCTTACTAGTTCAGATGGATGTTTACCTCATTAATTTTCAGTTCTTATTGTATAAAAATTTAATTTCTGATGTATGTCATTTTATCATACAATTCTAAGTATTTCTAAAGTTGCACTGTAATTTTTTTCTTTGAACTGTTTTGTATAGAAGTGTTTTAAAAATATATTTCCAAATGTAAGAGAATTTTAAAATTGTATAATTGAATTACTCATTAGTTGTCAGTGTATAATAGTGATTTGCTGTTTTCATAGATTATACACCATACAAAGTTAGTGTAAAATATTGACTATATTCCTTGTGCTGTGTATTACATCCCTGTCGCTAATTTATTTTATAACTTGTAGTTTGTACCTCTTACCTCCCCTTCATCTATTTCATACCTCCCTCACCCTTCTCCCATGTGGCAAACCACTAGTTTATTTTCTATATCTGTTCATCTTATCTGTTTTTGTGTATCTGTTGACTTGTTTTATTTTTTGGATTCCACATATAAGCAAAAATTATACAGTATTTGTCTTCTAGTAATTTTTAATTTGATTGCTTTGCAATTAGAGAATTTTGTGCATGTGATAACTGATTTTTGAAATTGTTGAATTTACATTTTGGCCTTCCATGTGGTTTTTATGAACATTCTATTGTTGAAGAAAGTCACCAGTTTAATATTTTTAGTTCTGTGAATGTTTACAGTGTTCCGTGGATGATTGTGATTTGTCTGTTCTCCTTTGACTGTTTTTCTTGGCTGTTACAGACAGTGCTTATCAAATCATTTTTATGTGTATCTGTGTTACCATGTGACTATATCCACAGGAAAAAGTATTCTAGTATATTTTCAAAAAGTATTTTCCTTTAAAATTAGGATCAAGATGGATCTAGTTTATAGTTTCAATGTTGTATTTGATTCGTGCTTGTTTCCCTATGNCATGGTTTTAAAATTGACTTTTAATTACCTAAAATATATATTGATTCGCTTTTTTATCTTCTGTGAAGTATGGCCTAAAAAAGCCTTAACTTCCCGAATCACATGCTTTTTTAGAATCTGATAAAAATACTGATAGCATATACACAGTTTTGCATGTGGCATTAGGAGTTTCACAGATCTCTTAGCTCCTCTGTATTAGGATATTATAGATGTAGGGAAGACAATTTGTGAAAATCACAAGATTATGATAATTATCCCAATGATAGTTTAAAGTGGCTATTTATGATGTTTTGGGTGCTTAAGTTTATGATTTAAATAACTGTGCTGCTTGACATAGAAACTCTGCCCTCAAAATTCTTAATTTAGTGGTAGAGAAGCACATGGAAAGAAATATTGCTTAAAAAGAGATACACATAGTATGCTGTGGGAATGTGTTGATGTGTTGATTACAGTTGGAGGACTGAAGGAGGACTTCACAGAAGAGGTGGGTTTGAATCAGGCTTTTGAAGAGTGAAAAGAATTTTGCTAGGAAAAATAGGAAAGCAAGGAATGTCATGCTGAAGGAATAGCGTGTAGGAAATAGAAGATATTAGAAGTTCACAGTGTGGAGTATGGAAAGTTGTTTTATGAATTAAAATGTTGGGTGGTCAGAGTTGTATAGTAGAATATAAAACTAAGAAGGTTGATATGGGGAAATACTATGGAGGAGTGGGAGATAAAGGCAAGTGGTATTCTTAGCATTTTTTTCGTTATTATATAGCTACTTCTTAATTCTAATTTTAAAAAGTAGATTGAGAGTGATTTAAGTACTAGAAAAATGAATAGGGACTTCCCTGGTGGTCCAGTGACCTAAGACTCTTATGCTGCCAATACCAGGGGCCCTGGTTTGATCTTTGATCGGGGAACTAGATCCCACATGCTGCAACTAAGAGTTCTCATGATGCAGCTAAGACCTGGTACAGCCAAATAAATAATAAATATTTTTTTAAATGAATAATAATTATAGGACAAGATATAGAACTTTCATTAGCAGTGACTTTCACATAGAGGTATAATGTAAATGGCTGGATCTGTCAGGGTGAGGTTTCAATATATAGAAAATGAGAGTTGAATAGAGTTGAATTGTAGAATTGAATTTCTTGGTTAAAGTTCTCTAGTAAAATAGCAACTAGTTCAGAGCTGTATTTCAGCAGTAGTATATTTACGTTGTTACTTTGGTATAATGTAAGAATTTTTAAAAAAGAAGTTGCAGGTATATTTTAATTTCATAAGTTCCTGTAATACCCTCTCCTCATTCTTGGAAGTTCCATTACCACACAGATTCATTTAATTCCTAGTTATTGATGACACACTTGATTTTATACTTTAAAAAGTTTTAATTGTATCTGAACCTTTTCAGATCCTGGTGAGTCTAATAAAAGAGAGAATACATCCACAGTGGGAGATTTTGGAGTTGGAAAGAGTTTTGGAAACAGAGGTAATCTGCTAATGATGTCTTTCAGTTGAAACTTAAGTGATACCTTATAGTCTTTGAGTTCTGTTTCCTTTTTTTTTTTAAACCTTTGAGCAAAATATTTATTGAAACTAGACTAAACAATCCCAGAGTTAATTAGGATCCTAGAGGTCATTTGACCAGTCTCTCCACCTGATACATGATTCCAGGAACAATTTCAGATTGTGTAAAGTCTTATAATAGCTAATTAACTTCTCTGCAGGATTCCATATTTGTCCTTCGGTTTAAGCTTGTTGACTTTGTGGTTGAAGTTTGCTATATCCGTAGAATTTTTTTTTTTTTTTTCCTTGTTGGCCTATCAAGAACCAGTGGAGATGTATAAAGACTTCCATGTATATAGTCATGTAATTCATCTTAATTTGTTTTTTGAATACTTGGAGGTTATGTTATTCATTTGGAATTGCTTCATCTTCCTGAGAATCTTTCCTTTTAATCCTTTGCCCTGACGGATTCCATGTCTAACAATTCTTTATCTTAAAGTCTGTTTAAAACAAAAAATAAAAAAAAGCTTACATAGGCCCATATCTAAAGCCCACAGTACATGAACAGAATATTATGTAATTAGCACCACAAGGTCTGAAGTAGCATGCAGTAATCAAATATGTTGATATAATCACAATACAATGTGTGAATGTCCACACTGAGTAGGACATAAAAAATGTAATTTCCATCTTTGTTTTTATTTTTTTACTGAAATATAGTTGATTTACAAGTTTTCCATCTTTCAAAATTTCATGGTCTTAAATTTTAATTTGTTTCTCTTTTTTTTTCCATTTACTTTTATTAGTTGGAGGCTAATTACTTTACAGTATTGTAGTGGTTTTTGCCATACATTGACATGAATCAGCCATGGATTTACATGTATTCCCCATCGTGATCCCCCCTCCCACCTCCCTCTCCACCTAATCCCTCTGGGTCTTCCCAGTGCACCAGCCCCGAGCACTTGTCTCATGCATCCAACCTGGGCTGGTGATCTGTTTCACCTTTGATAATATGTGTTTCGATGCTGTTCTCTTGAAACATCCCACCCTCGCCTTCTCCCACAGAGTCCAAAAGTCTGTTCTGTACATCTGTGTCTCTTTTTCTGTTTTGCATATAGGGTTATCATTACCATCTTTCTAAATTCCATATATAT